ATCTCTAATGCCTGGTAATAGAACACTAAATGGGGAGGGTGCTGAGTTACTGCAGAAAATTCTTTCCCAGGTGTCTGGCTGCTGGGTCTTGCTCATGTGCTCAGGATCTAACTGATCTTTGTATGTGGGGTTGGGAAGGAATTTTCCCCCTGGTCAGATTGGCAGAGACCCTGGGGTTTTTTCACCTTCCTCTGCAGCATGGGGCACGGGTCACTTGCAGGTTTAAACTAGTGTAAATGATGGATTCTCTGTAACTTGAAGTCTTTAAATCAAGATTTGAGGACTTCAGTAATTCAGTCAGAGGTTATGGGACTATTACAGGGGTGAGTGGGTGAGGTTTTGTGGCCTGCAATGTGCAGGAGGTCAAACTAGATGATCGTGATGGTCCCTTCTGGTCTTAAAAGTCTATGAGTCTATTTGTAGTCTCCTGTCCCATAAATTTAAGGCCAGTCCCTCAGTTAGTGTAAATCATGGTAGCTTCACTTACTTCATTGGCGCAACAATGATTTACCCCCAGCTGAGAATCTGGTCCTAAATCCTCAATGGATACCACATTATATTGCTTAGTTTCTTTATAACTTATTTCTAGGTTCCTCAGAAGTGTTAGACATTTGCAACATCACATCCATCCTGTATTGGAGAAAATGTCATTTAAGCCTGAATCTCCTAAATGGTGGTATGTGTTTTCCTGTGTCCTGCTGAGCTCATAAAACCCTAAAAGAGTAGAAAAAAGAGAGTGGGCAGAAACCTCAGATGAGTTAGCCACGCTTGCTTACAGTTACAGTCCACAGCTTAAACTTATATCAACCAAGCAGAGAGGCCACATGACCTAGAATAAAATTAAAACATCAGTGACACCACTCTATTTTAAAGGCTTCGACATATTACACAAATATGCTTCTATTTCATCGCTTTTCTTGAGAGAAGCAATGTGAATAGTGACATTAAATAATATGAAAAGTTAATGTTTCAGCTACAAGGGCATTTTATTAGGCACTGCTCTTTTGCTGCCCATGCTATTAGCATATTAATGGCTGTATATTTTAAGAACAGTAAAATAAGTGTCTCTGTACTGTACAAGATAATGTGAGAAATTTAAAACAGTGGGTTCTCTGTCTCTTTCAGTAGTTCCAGGTAGTGTGCAGTGTGTGACCTTATTTTGGGTCCATAGCTATTAAAATATTCCCTCCTTTCAACATTGAAGTTACCTTGAATAACCCATCCTTACACAGAGCTATATTGCTAGCTTTCCAAATCATACAAATTACTCTGAAGTGAAAACCACAATGAAAATGTTCCAAAATCACATTCTTGGCCCAACACATTGTACCCATGGTTATTTGTCAGTTCCCTTTTCCTTGAGCTTTCAGGGTAATTTATAAAAATATTGCTAGATGTCATACTGAACGCTGGCACTAACGTTATTTCCTTCACATTCATTGCTAGTCGCTACCAAGATAGTATCAGGAAGGAACAAATTAATGTCAATCTAATAGCACTTCTATAGCTTCAGTTCATTCTCCACCTTAAGGAGAGGCCTGATTTTATCGTTTGTATTTTCTTGTAGTAAATATTATGATCCAAGGCTTAAATGAAGATATGCAGGAACCAAAAGAGATGGAAAACATTGCTATGTGATGTGCCACAGGGCCTTTTGTGCTACAATACTTCAAGGCCTTTGCTAATCATTTTAGGAATTTCTAAGGTGTCTAATACTTTGGTATTTAAGTGCCTTATGGGGCACAGCCAAGGGATATCTCGGCAAGACAACATAAGAATAATGAAAATAACTGCTGGTTTGCAATAGATGTATCTGAGGGGAGGGACTTGTGAGGCAAAACGAAAATCCTTAAATGTCTGTAATGTGGCTAAGTGATGATAAAAGGCAAGACACTGCTTTTGCTTGTACTTTTGCTTAGTAGTACAATACTTTGTGTGTGGCCCCATGAAAGAGAAAATAGTGGTCTGTTTGAATGAGGATGTTGGAATCTTGTCCTAATCCTCTCTCAATATTTGAAAGGTGGGAAGCCAAGATGGAGAGAAGCTGGGAGTGATGGGATGAATTTGAGAATGGCCGTGTATCCAGGGAAACTTCCTGACAGTGAGATCTGCTAGGCTTAAAAGGAGGTGGCGGAATCCATCTTGCTTAGGCAAAAAGGAGACTGAATGATGCATGATAAGAAGCAATCTAGCATTGGCACAGGGCTGGAGAAAGGCTAAATGACTATAGAGAGATGCATCTCTAATTTCTATGGACAACACCGTGCTCAGGTGCCTCAGGGGTGCACAATAGAAAAGTTGGTGCAAGAAGCCTCCATCTTCACAAAACATGAGCACAGGAAATGCTCTGTCTTTACCCTGTGGAGTAAAGGGGCTAAAGAGGAGGTTGATAGTGCTGGCTAGGTATATGGGGGGCGGGGGGAGAGTATGCTGCAGCTCCTGACGGGGTGTAGCATTATCACATTCTCCATGAGCAGTGGAGACATCTGGGAAACATTTTGTCTCTGTTGTCCCTTCCAATATTTTGGGGCTTGCTGGATTGTATGAGTCAGGTATATGCTTTAGTATAGTCCTGTTTATTTACAAAGAATGTACACAAAGTCCTGTTTCCCTGAACATCATAGGAACAAACAACAGCAGTAGGCAGTTTCCTTGCTCACAATTTCCAAACCTGCTTTTTCAGTCAGTCCTGTGCCCCAAGGAGCTCTACATCTGCTCCCTCTCAGAGCTATGCTCACAACTATTTCTCGAGGATTTTGCTTACTTTCTCTTTGGTTTCCTGTTCCATTCTGCCTCTGAAACCTACACAGACAAACAGAGCTGCAACCAATCAGTTAGTCCCAGGGGAAACCCATTTTATTCTCCCTGAATTAGTTCTTGCTCAGGCCTTCCCATATGACCCAGTGTCTTGGGCAGTGGCTTCTATTGCTTCAGCTATCTTACTCCATAAAGCTTAATTGCTTCCATTTTTTCTGAATGAATGGATCTGTGATTGCCTATAGATCAAAATACATGCTTTGTGGCAGCCATTAACATTTTCCAGTGTAACAAACTCCCATATGGGGTAGTTTAGGTTGGCACCAGTCTCTGTTTGGGCCAGTGCTTATAGAGGTATAGTGGTTGCTGCTCTGGCATGTGTTCTTTTAGTTCTCCTTGAACAGGGGTTCTCAAACGTCATTGCACCACGATCCCCTTCTGACAACAAAAATCACTACATGACCCCAGGAGAGGGGACCGAAGCCTGAGCCTGTCCGAGCCTCGCCACCCCAGGCGGGGATGGGGGAGGGGGGCAAAGCCAAATCTCAAGCCCCACCACTCCAGGCGGGGGAGAGGGGAGAAAACCCAAGAGCTTCAGCCCCAGCAGGGGACTTGTAACCTGAGCCCCACCACTGAGGGCTGAGGCTCTCATGTTTCGGCTTTGGCTCCAAGCAGTGGGGTTTGGGCTTCAGTCCTGGCCCCAGCAAGTCTAATGCCAGCCCTGGCGACCCCACTAGAACATGGTCCTGACCCACTTTGGGGTCCCGACCCACAGTTTGAGAACCACTGTCCTAGAAGCATATTGGCTGCTTCAGCCAGCCACAAAAGAGTTTCTTTAGCAACACATTGTGATCGTGAAAGCCCACAACCTAGCCCACAGCCTTTCTGAGCCATCTCCCTGTGATCTCCTCTGATCCTAATCTGATCAGCTGACTGCACAATGCAAGGTGGAACTTTTCAGAAGATAGTAAAATAAGTTAGGCTTACATTGGCACCAAATGTGCCCATACTTTTAGTAGCTGATTATTATTAGTAATTATCTACTGTTGCGGTGCCCAGCGATCTCAATCAGGATTAGAGCCACATTGTGCTAAGTGCAATGCAAACACAGGAGGAAATGGTTCCTCTTATGTGGATAAATGGATAGCCACCCTCTTGGCCCACACAGGGGACTGACTAGCATCCTCCATTAATAAAAGCACAAATCTCCACAGCTTCAGCTACAGAGCCAAGTTCAGTATGTGGGGGCTGTTATAGAATCATTGTAACTTACACTGACTCTGGTAGGTCACACTTGCACTCTCAGAAAGGGTGTTTGCAGGGACCCCTTTACAATACAATTCCCATGCTTTGAAGTCAGACACATTTGACTTTATTCCCCCGCCCCCTTTTATATGCATTACTACTCCATGTAAAGCCACCTCCCCCAGAGAGGAAAGTGTGTGTTGCAAATGATCAGATTTATTTACAGATTTCTTTCTATCGGCACTGCATACAAATACAGAAACATGCCAGGGAAGAGCTGAGCTAGCCTTGAAAGAAGAATAAAATCAAAAGAAATGCCACCAAGAAGCAACAGCTAAGCCTGATGGGAAATCCAGCTCCTTACTCATCTCCCTGTACTTTTCACCTTCCTCCTGCCGAGCACATTTCTCTTCCTCTCCCGTGTCACTGATCCTGCCATCTCTTGCTTGTCATCCACCTGCCGCCCTCACCTTTGTACCTACGCTCATTTACATCCTCTCTCTTAACTGCTCACCCTCTTCTGGCTCCTTCCCCTCTAAATAAAAGCATGGTTTGGTTTCCTCAAACATTAACCATGATCCCACCCATCTCTCTTGTTATTGTCATCTCTAAGTCATGAAGGATCAGATTGCAATAGCTTCCCTTGTGATGAGTGGCACATTAATCCTTGAGAAGTCTCATTGAAAGCCAATGAAACTACAAGGAGTAGGTACACAACATAGGTGAGGGTACTGCAATCTGGTCCTTAGCTTGTAAATTTTTTGAGGTATGGAATATCCTTTCTAAGCAAATACATATATTAATTATTACTATTACTAATCTTAGAAAACTAAAATTGGGCTGAATCATAAAAGATAACTTGATCCCTACATAAGGCCATTAAATAGGTTATCTCTTTGCTCCAGCCTCTGTCTTTAAGAACTGAAGCAGCTTCTCTAGTCAGTCCACTATTTGATCTTCCATTCACTCCCTGGGAGGAACAGATGAACCTTTAATTTTAACACTCAGTGCTTCAGTCCACACCCCCGTCAATTCTAGGACTTTACTTCTGCCCCACAGTAATGATCCTTGAAGTGGTTGATATCTGGTTGAAAGTTGCAAAGCAGTGTTATTAAATATTCATTTGAATTCCAAATCACTATTGCCTTTTGTTACAACCTTTTATTTGGCATTCACAAACATTCAGGGGTATTTTGTTAATACAAATTTTTGGGGAAAGGCTGTTCTTCATTAGAATAGCCATATTTGCATCAGAGTAACACATTTACATGTGAACAAGAATATTTGTTATTGGCTATTTAACAATTAATCTTCTGATTAAAAGGCTTCAGTCACCTAGTCTAGAAGTCAACTGTACTGAATGACTTAGGTGACCGCCTAAACACCACAAATGGGATATAGTCCAAGTGAACATTTCATGAACTTTCTGGCTGAAATTTGTTCACGTAGGGCCTGATCTAAAGTCCACCGAAGTCACTGGTAGTCTTGGGCTTTGGATCAGGCCTTAAACAGTTCATTGCATCATCAAAAATTGAAAATATATCAGTAAACAACAGTAATCTGTTTGCAAACAATTTGCAAATGGAAAAAAGTCTGAATTTGTCAGTACATGTATTCACAGCCAATAATTTGACCAGCTCTACACATTACCTTAAATGACATTACGTCCCTTTCGTGAAAGCTTCTAGACTAGTTTCCTTGGCAACTGGCATTCAGGAAGCATAATTTTCTATGGTACCTGCCCATTAAGCACCCGACAGCATATGCTGTTTGTGATTCTGTATAAATAGGGGGTTTTCCAATTGCTTTATCAAAAACCAGTCCTGCTAGCAGAGGGTGTATTTGTTTGTGGGAAATGTGTGTAGAGCAGCTTTGACCAATTTAGGATTCAGTGCTGTAGCATAGGAGATGTTAAATGGCCCTGCTAAGCAGCAGGACGATGACACTTTTGCAAACATAGAAAACCTAGTCCAAGCTATTGGTAGCCAGTGAGGCTTTTTTAAAATTTAATTTAAGAGCTATTTGCTTTGTGTAAAGTAGGTTTGTGAGTGAGTAATTAAGTGAACTGGAGAATAACTCAACTCAAGCATCACAAAGCACAATTCCCTCTGACAGAGACCAAACCTATGTGGTAATCACTGAAGCTCAAAGAGTGGCTGATTGAATTCCTATGCCTTTTGACATCTAGTTTTCAAGTTCAAATATCTCATCTGAATTTATCTGTGTTTCCAAAGCCCTGCTTGCCTGAGAACTGCTCTGACTCCCTCTTGCTTTATTAGTTGCACTCCAGAGTGATAGCAGAGACACCTCCTCTGCATGTGAGATTTAACATGCTGCTGTTCTTGCACTTTCTCAGGCCTCCCTTTTAAGGTAGCAAGTACCAGGCAGCTATCACTCCGGCTCATCACCACTCTCCTGTTTTCCCACGCTGAATATATATATCTATTGAGGGGGAAGTGGAGGGAGAACACAAACTGCAGTCATCAATTGCATTTGTAAGCTGAGCCGTGACATTGTCAAGACATGGTTCTTTTCCTGGTATGAGACTTACGTTTCCCCTTCTCTCCTTTACTTTTGAGGTCCACAGGCTCTGATGCCAAGCACTAATGCTTGACCTGCAGGAGTCCTGGTTATGGGGTTCATGAACCTTTCCTTTCTGCTCACAGCATTAGACCTTTCCCAGGGGAGTTCTGAGGCATAGCATCTCGTAGCAAAATGTACAATGCCTGTGCAGTTTTTATAAAATCTTCCAGTTTTCTTTATGGCACCCTGCTCTGCTGATCTGGGGATACTTCCTTGTGGGAAGGGATTGTTCTGATGAATTTCATGACAGCACTGAAATGTGTTGTTGTATCACTTCCTTTCCGTAGGTGGCCATATTTCACACTTCATCTTGCCAGTATCCTTCAATCAAAGGCCTAGTGCTCACTTTATGTTGGAAGATCAGAAAGTCAGGAAACATGGTGCTGCCAATGCAGATAAAGGCAAAGGAGACTCCAAGGTCTTTGGTGATTATTGAAACCTGTTAAAAAAAAACAAATCTAACCTGAATGATATGAATGGGTTTTGTTACACACTATTCTTCACACTCCCTGTTCTCCCCCCTGATAATGTGAACAGAGGGGAGCCAGGAAGATGGTAGATTCCTACCAAGTGCACAGAAGTGCAGAACATTAACTCAGCTTCATGTGTGTCCCATCTCTCAATAACACAGAAACTATTGCATGGAAGTTAGGAGCCTAAACATCTTTGACGATTAAAGCCTTGATAATCTGGTCCATTTAAATTAAACATCACCTGTTTTGGCATCACATAGGGACTATGTGTCATGCTGTTGCAGCTTCCAAATTATAGTAGTTACCATCGCTTATTACCTATCACATATGCAGGGTTTTTCCTCCTCATGACATGCCCCAAGGCACAGCGGAATGGCGGTAGTGCCATTGGTTTTTGCACCTTAGCCTTTACAATGAACTTGAGTGGTGCAATGAGTTGAACCGGCAGCATTGGAGCTGGTTTACAAGAGACTGTAATCTGGTCTTTATCCTTGGATTCTGACAAGCAATAGGCCTATATTTTTTAAGAGGGATTAGTGATTTTGAGTTCCTCAATTTTTGAGTGGCAAGTTTGAGACACCTTAAAGGGTTTGCTTTTGAGAGCAGAGGTGCTTGCCATCTTCTGAAAAATCAGGCCCATTTTAGATATAATTTCAGGTGCTCAAATTGACACTAGTAATTTTAGAGAATTTAAGCCAATGATGTATTTCCTACTACAAAGGATATCTAGCAGTAGTGAATGCATATCCTCTTCACTCCTCTATCGCTGTTCCTTCATCCTGGTACTGTGTATGTATTTTTTTTTCTTTCCTGTCCCTTTTTGCTTATTGGGCTTTCCCTTGGGCCACAGTAGTTAATATTTTACACCTATAAATCTTGCAAAATCAATAGAATGCTTCAATCAACAAACAAATCAATGAATCTAACCTGATGGACACAGCTTAATCTGATGCCCCACAAGGAAAAACGCTTCCTAGGATATTTGAAAGATAAAACCAAAACAGAAAGATAGGAAAATTGCAAATGAAATGATCCCATCTGTACACACCCCCATTATTTACCAAATGGATGTTGGTTGAATATTTGTTTGTTGTGTTTTTTCTAACTGTAATCATCAAGTTAATAATGAAAATATTCTGTCCACAGGGAGCTGGTGGATATCATGGGGTTTTTTACACCTCTGTATGCATGACAACACTCTTGGCAGTTAGCTTGCTTATCACCCTGAATGTTTCTTTTGAAGTAAGAAACAGGTGGCAGGGTTTACTGTAGTAAGTGCAACAAAAACATGTCAGCCAATTAGGGAGATTTCAACTGACTGGAAACCTGGATCCCTTTCCAGTACTTTGTTGATTTTGTTGTTGTTGGTTTTGATATTTTTTGGTCTGTTTGTAAAGGAAATTTTTTTATTTAATAGAGTCATAGACATTAGAGATGAAAAATATGTTTGGTCAACAAATCTCCGGCAATGAACCTTGAACCAAAGTACTGAAATATAAGTGATATTTTTTTTTTAAAAAAAGGAAGCAATTTTGCAGTGTGTCATACAATTCAAATAACCAAATAGCCTTATCTGTGTAAACTTAACTCCCCACTCCATTGCCTGACATGGACTATCCCTGCATCCAGTCTTGTGTATCTCACTTTGGGCCTAATTCTTCCAACTCTTACTCACATGAGTAGTCCTTCTTCACCAAGTAGTCCCATTGGTAAAGGTTTGAAGTGATATAAAACTTAGATTGTAAGCTTTTCAGGCCAAGGGCTGAGGCTAGAATTTTCAGAAGTGTTAATAGTTGTGAGTATGCAATTTGAGACACCTCGGGCCTTTTTTTTTTTAAAGAGGTGCTGAGCACCTACAGCTTCAGTTAAAGTCAATGGGAGCTACAGGTGTTTAGCACCTCTCAAAATAAGGACCTTAAATGTCTCTTGGGATCCCAAAATTAGTGACCATTTCTGAAAATGCTGGCCTGTGTCTTTAACCTCTCTGCAGAGAAACATGCACATCTATATTGCTTTACTGCTACAAATGTTAATTGTTGTTGATGATGATGATTGTGATAATAAATGGCACTCCATCCCTATACCAATCTATGATAGTTCATTATTTTCTAATCTAGTACTTTGCCTAGTTTAATTTTGAATGTCCCATTCCATTTCAGGGCACAATCTAGGAGCTTTCATTGTCAGGAGTTCTTTTCTTGATATTCAGACAAACTTTTCTTTTTTCTTCAATTTGTTCTGATACTTTCTGACACATTGAATCATTCTTTGCCATCCTTAGCATTACACTCTTTAAATATCTGTCACAGTACCATACCCAGGGTGTAACTTAGAGCAGAATTTGTACCACTGTATTTAAAAAAAAAAAGTAGAAAGCCAACTGGTGAATTTTTGTTGCTCCCTTCCATTTATTAGTGCCCTTCTTGCATTAAAGTGCCATAAAAGAAACAAAATATTCCAGGAAGAGTCTCATCAGATCCTTCTAATCTAAGGCAAAGTTGAAAAGTGCTACCGTTATATTTGGGATCATAGATTGCCGCTTGTTACATTAACTGGATTCTTAGCTAATGCTCCCTGGACTGGTAGGTTCAAATTTTGCCTAGCTTCTTCTTGGTTAGTCTTGGGGGGGTGGAGGGTGGGGTCAGGGTAAGTAATGGGCTTCTTGTATCCTCTTCCTTTTAGTGCATCGTTGCAAGACTTGGCAGAGTTTTTTCCCATAAAGTCTATAGGCCAGATTCTCAGCTGGTATAAATCATTGTATCTCCACTGAAGTCAATAGAACTTTTAGGGTTATTTGATTGGCTATATTACCATCCTATTGGAGAACATACAGCAGTAGTATGGGTAGAACTTTATTCATCTGAGAGGGCAGGCTTCTCAGATGCTTACACATCTGTTGCAGATGCAGTTAGTTCACTGGCAAATCAGCATGAGCTGTATTGGAAATTAGCTAAACATTCCACCTTTAGTAAGTGTAGCGTTACCATAGAAAAGGAGACATTCTGCTTCAGACTTCTCACTCCCAAGCGATGCTTAAGGAGGCATATCGGCTCCTATTAGACACGGGCAGTTGTTCCTAAATGAAGACACTTTGTTGTGTGTTATGAGTGAATATGGGCAAGAGTCATTTTGGGAAGCATTTGAAGGTAGTTAGGAATTGTTCTTCACAGTTAGAAACAACTGGTAGCTCTGCAGTTATGACTTAAATTTCTTTTAAAAATTCTTTCAAACCACAAAGCTGTGTGTTGCTCAGTGATTTAATGCATTTGTACGTATGGAACTTTTCATTTAATGCTGTTCTCCATTGTTTTTGGCTGAGACCCAAGCCTCACATCTTCTGGTTGCAAGATTCCTTTCTGCAAACTCCATCGTTTGCTGAGGACTCAGTGTAACATGACACTATGCCCATTTCCCAGCAGGCAGCACATTAAAGATCTGCATGTCGACCAGCTGCAATGACAGGTGTTAGTTTCCTTTTCTTTATGCTTCTCCTTTTATTTGTAGTTATAACTTCCCTACCAGTACTATCAAGTCTTGAAGGAAATTGGGCGGACTTTATAAACTTAAAAAAGGCTATTAATTCAGATGCTATGGCAGGTTGGATTTTGGTTTGAAGCAGCATGCTCTTAACCCATTGAGTACCATGCTTCCCCTGGCACTCTGAGGGTCTGAGCCAAACTCCATACCCATCCCACAGATATATCTGCAGCAGTCCACACGTAATGCATCTTTCCTTCCACGCCATTTAGCAGCACCAGAGCTGTTCCACAGTGCTGCTGAAGACTCAAGGTTGTAGTACCCCAGATGGTTGCTGTGCTCCTCTACAAAAGGGGGCTAACTGGATACACGCGCACGCACATACGGAAGTGTGTGTGTGTCTTAGAGATATTTATACCATCTAGATCTCACACGCAGCTCCTACCTAGGGTCTGATCCAATGCTCTCTGTAGTCATGGAAGTCTTTCCATTGAGTTCAATAGGCTTTGGCTCAGTCCTTGCTTCTGATATGATGCTGGACTTTATGTTCTATACAAATATATAACCATGAATAAGAAAAATGAGAACCAAGAATGCAAATACAAAACAAAAAAAGTTATATGATCATTTATTGCTGAAATCCTTCTCCTCCTGTCTCTGTCACTAGTGTGTGTTGTCATAACTCTGTGTTTTGTCTAAGTTAGATTGAGCTCCTCAGGCAGGACTACTTACGTGTCTGTAAAACCTCACGCGTTCCTGTGGTGTTGTACAAATAGTACATAATATTACCCTTCTGGAAACAGGTTGTTCCTCCAGGGAAAGCAGCAGCTCTGTGAAGAAAGGGGCAACTCAAACCCAATTCTTGCCACCACAGAGCTGTAACTTTACTCACTAACCCTTGAGAACAGCTAAGTCCCCTAATGTCCTACCCCCAATTGCCAACATTCTACTGATGATTCGCCAGTCTACCTCCCCACTGTGGGTCTGTCTCATCCATTCGGTTCCACACTTAATAGTACCTCCTGGATATCTCACCATCAACTTCAATTTATAGCTAAAACTAAACTACTTATCTTAACTCCAAAGTCTCTGATAGCTATTTATTTATATTTCTAAAATACTTTTACATTATTTCAAAACCACCAGGTTATGTAAACACCTGTTCTCATCACTTTCATCTTCCTCCCTTTCCTTGTATTATATGTTATACTCACTTTTTGTGTCTTACATTGTCAGATCTTTGGACAGAGCTTGTGCCCTGTGTTCCCTCTAAGCTGTGCGGTTGGGTGGCCGCCCAGGAGAGATTCAAGTGCCATGCAGATGATTAGCAGAGCACGCACATCCAGCAGCGTGTGTTCAAGTGCCCCACCCCCTGCTACTTTGCAGCCATGTTGCTCCTGCAGCTGCTCCCGGGACCCTCCAGCTGGCTGTGCAAAGCGGGGGAATTAGGGGGTGCTGATGTCAGGATATTCCCTGCCCCTGTACCCCATCTCCACAGACCAGGGGGAGAGGGGACAGCCTAGCTCAGTACTCGGAGTTGCTGCAGTCTGAGATCTAAACAACTCCAGCCTCCGAGCAGTGAGTGAGTGAATGCCTTTCTTAAAGAGACAGCGCATGGTCTCTGAGACTTCTCCAGCAACCAGCTCACACTGTCTCTGTCTCTCTCACACACACTATCTCTCTCTTCCTCCCTCCCCCCCTCCGTCCATGTACCCCATCTCCGCAGACCGGGGGCGGGGAGACAAGGCTCAGGAGAACTTTCAGTGAGTGCCTTAAAGAGAGAGCGCACGGTGTCTCTCAGAAACTTCCCCAGCAGCCAGAACTCTCTGTCTCACTCACTCACAGAGAGTCTCTGTGTCACACATATACACTGTCTCTTTCACACTCACCTCCCAACACATACTTGTATTATTGTTCTTGTTACTTCTTGGTACTGCCTGCAATGCACATATATTCTCTGTAATTTTAGTCTTTCAAAGTGTATTATTTTAGTGTTTTGACTGGTCTATGCATTTCATAATTTTTATTTCTCTTACACTTAAATTTAATTCTTTGAGTAGTGAGTTCTAAAATGCCTAACCTGTCCTAATTATCCCTATGGTAACTTTTTAAAAAATATATTATATCTAGGTTTTTTTGTTTCTACGGGTGGCGCACATCCCTCAGTGCACATAACAAAATGTATTCCACACATGGATGGAAAAAATTAGAGGAACATTGCTTATTTATTAGGCAGTTTAATCAATTTTTTAAAAGTAAAACAAATACAAAATCACACAAAAATACCAATGATGAGATAAATCCTGAAATCCTTACTCACTTTTTACTCTGTCCTTACTCAAGCAAACCCACAGTAAAGTCAGAGGGTATTTTTCCTAAGGAAAGCTTAAGTAACATCTGATTAAGGACCTCGGGATCTGATTGAAATTGTGCAAAACATATTTACATGCTAGAAACCAAATGCTAATGCTAATAGGCAAGGTAATGTGAGACCTTTTGCTTTGCTAGAGATGACTGCTTATAGCCCAGCTGTGGCCTTGCTTTGCTGTGTCTGTACCTTGTGAGTTATGAAAGGTCATTTCTAACTTATACAAATGTTTCTTAGCTCACATTGCCTAAAATTATTCATATAGTGCCCATTCTGGTCAATGACAGAATTCCCATTGACTTCAGTGGGAGAAAGTTAGAAGAAGGAGGATTGGTTTAGTGTAGCTTACATATGGTTTACTTGTTGAATAGAATGACATTTTGGGCCAGTGTAGTCTAAGTGAGGGGTTTTTGTCTATAGATTATTTTTTATTAAGGTCAGTGAGTGACTGATGTAGACATTGCAGTGTATGAATCTACATATGATTACAGGTCTGGGGAATTGTACCCTTGAGAGGCTCTGACAAGAGCCATTTTGAACTGGTTGTTATGTTATGCCCCGGCTCTGTTATGCAACTCTGCTTAGTTAGAACTCAGACTCCGAATGAAGCACACTTCTGTTAGACCCCTTGGCTCTGCATGATTACTGAACATCACAGCAGGTGACTGTTGCATTAAATCTTGTGAGATTAATTACTTTTTGTAAAAGAGAAAAGACTCTCTATAGCAAGATGGGGATAAAATGAGATTTGGGCAGTGCTTAATTTGGGCAGGGCTTGTTGGGGCTGAGTCCCGGCACCCATAGGCTTGGCAGTTGATAGCCACCTCTGGGCTTGCCATGCCAGTTATGAAAGTAAAAAAATTGCTTGAGCCCTGGCACCTCTTTCATTACAGTTTAAGCACTGGATTTGTATAATGTAGATCTTCCCCAAGTAGCTCTAATTTACGTCCATAGTTATTGCAAATGGTTTTCCTGGGAATAGAGGAACCTAGTGAACTTGTTCCCTGGGCTAAATTCCCTCCTTTTCCGCTCCCTTTGTGTGGTGTTAATTTTCTTAATTTTCATATGCAACACAAGCTAGGCTGTAATGAGATTTTATGACAGTGGCATTATGAGCTTGTATACTTTGAGTAGATAAAACACTGGCGATGGTCCCCACTACTCTACACTTTACAGAGTCACCCACACCTATGCACAGTAGATTAAAAGTCCTGCCCAATCAAAATGGTAGTGTTTGACACCCACTCACTTTGCACAGATGTAAATAGCTACCCAATGGGTACAGCAGTGGAAAATCAAACCCTAAGGCCCTGATCCTCTTCTTGGGACGTAGGTGTCTAAATACCTTTGAGGATCTGGGCCCAGGTCTCTGATCTGAAAAGATGAAAGCCTCTATTCATGTGACTGTATATATATGTGATGGTGGCAGTAGTGGTGGGAAGTGGGTGAATTGAGTATGCTTGAGACAGTGTTGCATGATATTCTGAATGATTTTCAGTTAGACTCCATGAGGTTTAATAAATTCTTGCCTGGGTCATCAGGAATAACCACATTCAGATCTGATAAATTATAATGACATCATGAGATTATGGATCCCAGAATGAGATTTTTACAGGATTTCTCATTAAAAATGAACAGAGGAATCACAGATTAACTTTGCTCTGGCCCTCTGAGACCCCACTGGTGTGAAAAGAAATATGCAATTCTCATGAAATGTACTGGGGTTGACTGTCCTCACAAAACAAGTAAAGCACAAGCAGTGCAGTAGATTGAGAAAAAGAGAGGGGGGAATTAACGAAATATTTAAATTTCAAGATTCGAAATGTCATCAACATTTTTTATTTAATTCTTTTTACTAGCTCTTTGACAAGTTGGCCAAAAACCTCCAGATTTCACCCCCTGTATTATTCTAGTCTTTTATTATCTTTTGAATTCTGAAATTTGAAAAAAATCAAACCTGCTCTAATTTCTACTAAATATGTTGTCCGCAATCTTTCTCTATGCAGTTGCTCTTGTGGTACAGAGTGGTCGGCAGTCAGTGGATTTGGTCATAGCAGGAGATTCCCTGCTGCCATTCCTATAGAACTCCATCTTGGCTGCTGTAGTTGGAGGTGTGGCTGAAATCTGTTTGTGTCTTGGCTATCTCTGGCGTTTAGAATAGCTCCTTGAGCACATTGGCGGCCTGCATAAATTAAAGCAACGTTCAGGCAAAACTTAGTGAGATCAGTGGAAATCTGACCTATATAAGGATTGCAGGATTTGCTTAATATCAGCTAAAGCAGTGTAATATGCAAAGTCAGCTGTTTACAAAGAATGTTTTAATACAGTACTTAGTTTTACGCTCTGTTCAAATCAAACTTTGATTTCGGAGGTTTTGGCTAGGGATCCTATGCGGGGCTTTTCCACCTCTACATTCAGGGATTCATAACTTGATTCAGGAGCCAGAAGTTTCTTGGCACTGTTTCTGCTGAGATTAGGATCAGGATTTTCCTTGTCCCCCAGCAACTCAGCTAGCAAGGAGCAAGAAGTCACGACTTCTCCCCATGACCATATGTGGAAGCAGGCCCACAATGCGGTTATATTGACTCCGAGTCCAAACAGCTGTTCATCCTATTCTTAATGTGCAGGAATATGCTTGCTCCTATCCGGGTTTAGTTTCTATTTCTCCTTTTTCTTATACTGGATTTACGCTAATTTTTGTGGCGGTACCCCTCATTTACCCCTATGTAACTGAGAGGAGTGCCAGGCCCTTAATTCTTAAACGTGAAGGGAAAAAATGTTTCCACAGTCCCAAAGTGTAAGTTTTTTGGTCGGCTTTAATCAAGCATGGAGAGCAAGAGAGAGTGAGAGATATGAGGCCTACATTATATTACAGTCTCCACCCTTTTCTCCTCTCCATGAGAGGTTCATGTAGACTGCATTCTATAGTGTAGTGTGAGCCAATGCAGGCTTGAGTGGACTGGCTGAGCTGCGTGTGAACAGGTCAGCTAGAGGGGAGAGAGCTGTTCCATGACTGGCTGCTTGTGGAAAATACTGTAAAAAGAGAAAAAAGTTTGTGAAAGTGAAAAGCTCAAGCACATACAGCCATGCTCCCCATTAATATGACAAACCCTATCAACCTCCTCCCCGGCCATGGTCAAAACTGCTAACGGTGTCAATTCTATCATTTTGCTCTCAGCTGCTAGCTTTGTTTTGTGTCTCATTTTACGTGAAAACACCTACATAGTCAAAAAGCACTGGTGCTGATGGCTGCAGACGCTAGCTGCAGGTGAATCCCTGATTGTGCCAACTGCAAGCTTCAGTTCAGTTTAAAAATAGAACCATTTATTTAGGGACACAAAAGCATTTGTGTGTAGATAAAATCAGCTGGCTAGCCAAGAAAGAGGGCGTTTCCTTGTGGGGGAGCCAGCAGAAAAGAGGAATAATAATTCAACACCTCTCAAAGAGTGAGTTAACCTGCAAAGGAAACACAAGGCCATTAGCTATTGTGACTATGCCAGAAAGGCCCAAATAGAGATGCTCAATAATAAAGATAATTTATGAGGCTGCATTAAAAAGCAAAGAGGACATATGTTTAAGTTCTGGAGTGATTTTCCTTGAGCTTTATCAAAAATGCAATATTCACTAAACATTGGAGATGGACTGAAACCCCAGATTTGGTATGCAGATGTGGATTCAGATATCAAAGTTTTGAGGAGTTTGTGGTGTCTACAGGTTTGGTTCATCCCATTATAAACATGGCCCCATTTATAACATTTGTACCTGGATCCAGGTTCAGACTTCGAGTACACTTTAGGCTTTTGTTTTTGGATGTGGAGGGAGATTTTCAGAGGCACAAATTCTCATTGACTTGCAGTGTGTGTTAGGTGCCTAGTTGTCATTTCTGCCTTGGAAATCTTCTCCCGGAGAATTTTGGTTTTGGCCCATTCTACAGAAAATATGAGAAGCTATTGTTTCTGGGGGAAACGTGAGATTATAGTGTTCATGTTGCAGAAATAACTGCTTATAAAGGGCCCACTTCTAGAACCCTGATTCACAGTGAGTAATACTCACTCACTCAGGTGCCCTATGGTCTGTAGCAAGACTGGTCCAACAAGAGTAAGAGCTACTCAACTTGAACAAATATTGCAGCATCAGGCCCTAGTGTTGCATAAAACTCAGAGTCCTGAATGACTCTGATTTCCTTTTTAGTAACAGGTTTCAGAGTAGCAGTCGTGTTAGTCTGTATCCGCAAAAAGAATAACAGGAGTACTTGTGACACCTTAGAGACTAACAAATTTAGTTGTCTGTCTCTACGCAAAAGAATTAATGGACACAAATCTGACATCAGGAATCAAAATACTCAAAAACCAGTGGGAGAACACTTTAACCTGTCTGGTCATTCAGTGACAGACCTGCGGGTGGCTAT